TATCATTATCACCATTATTATTAAATAATTCCACCACAAGTTTATCCCAGTGCCTGGCATTCATGGATGCTTGGGAAACTGGACAGCCACAGTCACCCCACGGGAGAGAAAGAGGTTGGACCTTGTTCCCCTGAAGTCAGGCAAGAGCACTTGTTAGAACAAGTTCCTTACTTCCAGTCTTTTCTGGCAGCTTTGTGAATCAAACGCTTTATTCCCCTTTCTGTTATTGTAAGTAGCAATACCAAAACATTTCATTAAATCTGAAATTAAAACCTGTGTTCATCATTCTGGAGGAAGAAGAGGGTGAGAGAAAGGTAAGGAAAAAATAATCTTATTATTTCATATAATAATTTACAAAATGGAAGTGTTAATTTAATTTGAATTATTATTTCTGTTTTCTTAACTTAAACATTAAAGCAAAGACAACTTTCTTTACACCTCAGGCATGGCTTTCTGCTTCACTTTGTTTCAACCGGGCAGATTCTGCAATTTAGAAAGAAAATACAAAGTGGTACAATACCGTAACTGTTATCAAAATAACCACATACAGTGAGGCCAAGACAGCTTGCTGAAAAGCCAGAACAAGTCCACATATATTATTCACATCATATTTGGAAACTAAGTATTCTGTCTGTTTTCAAAGGACAATGCATGACTGCATGAAACCCCTCACTTATGGAAGAGAGATACAGTTATAGGTACTTCACGGCTATGGCAGTAACAGTCTGTTCACTTAATTAATGACATAACTTATGGGTCCTAATCAGCTACGAAGAATAAAAAGTAAATCTAGTTTGCTTCTACAGTATTACACGACATTAAGTATATTTCCAAAAGAATATAGTTACAATTTTATAACTAAGCAACATTTATTGGTTTTGTTGTTTTCTTTTTTAAAAAAAAAAAAAAATCCCCAAAATGGCAACCAACCCAGAGAGGCTTCTGAACAGCCTCCCCGCTCCCAGCCTCATGCACCCTCCTGAGCACAAACTAATTGCTGTGGCAGAAGCATGATTTTACAAAATGGATCTGAATGCATTTCAGCTGTAATAAGTAGCCAACAGCAAGCCAAAAACCACAACAAACAGTATTTGATCAGCTAAAGCTATGGGTGGCTGGTGGCCTAAAAGCCAGATGAGGAATCATGGTTCTGGGCCACATCGACTGCAGAACAGGGGAACCAGAAGACCAAACATGAAAGTACCACAGCAGATCTTCCCCTCATACCTGATGGGTTACCATTATGCAGACGTGTATCAGACAAATCTGCGCAGTGTGTATATAGTAAGACACAGTTAAGACACTATTACTTAAGATGAAGAAACACAGGTTCATGTTTATTGTATCAAGTATAGTATTCTACGCCTTTTAGATCGGTTTTCAGATACCTAGTCAGATCAAAGCAATCTGGGATGTGTACAAATATACTTACTAGTCTAAAAGCAAAGAATTTATTTTTCCTGAAGAAGCACCACAATTTCTAGAGCAGATCAGGCTTAATAAGGTCTATTACCTGAGCCTAAAACAAAACCCACACAGATCACTCACTGAGTGTCTCAGAGCTCTAATCAAATAGTGGCAGTGAGCTTCGAGAGAGTAGAACAGGTCGTGCCAAGCACATCATGTTATGAGATTAACACTGGTAGAGATACTGTCTCATCCAAGACAGAGGACATCAGACTTTCAGCAGAAAGGTTAAATGCAAGACTCTCAAAGAACCCTGAGGGGTCAGAAATAGCTACTAATGATTTTGCTGACAACAGAATTAAATACTACTTATCATATGAGAGGTCTTTCAAGCCTAATAATAAACTTTTTAAAAAATTTCCTAAAAAGAAACTGAACATTAGAATATGTCCATTTAGTGCCTTCCCTTGGCTTGTAACATACACCAACCACTATAATTTCTAGTGTGGCCACAGTTATATTGGAAAAATGTGATTTCTGCGAGTATCTATATGTCTTTCTACAGACAAAGATTACATGAATACCAACCACATCTTAACACTCAGATTAAAACAAGCTGGTGTCAACATTGCTATAGTTGGAAACAGGTGACCTCAGTCAGTACGTCAACATGGTGTCTAGTCTGGAAGAGCTAAATGTGAAAAAGGATATCAGAGCTGTCACAACCCCTGTCACTGCTCCCATCATGAAGGAACCACTGAATATTCCCAGGAACACACCAACAGACTTGAAAAATGCTGCTGCATCAAAAGCATGGGTGTTTTCACCTGTTGGCTGGTAGGCAACTATAGATCTAGAAAGAGAGCAACACAGTGAGAAGTTAGAAGTGACATAAGAAAAGTTTTATTCCATAACAGCAACACTTGAGCAACAGAAGATACAATGCCATGCTGAAGGCAAATTTGCCTTTCTGGTGCATGTATGCATGAGTGATCTTGGAAAATGTTTGCCATGTTTATTAATTCAGTTTAAGACAAACCATTTAAATTCAAAATAATATTTCTCAGAAAAAAAAACACATTTATTTTAGACAAATACCAAAGGCAGTTAACTAGTTTCAGAGTAGAAATTCAGGTAGGTACTTACGAAGATAATACAATGGCAACAGCGTCATTCAATACACTCTCCCCAAACAGAAGGGCATAGAGATCGACATCAGCATGCAGCTCATTAAATATTGCTAGCACTGTAACTACAGAAAGAAAAGAGAAAAACCACACTGGTTGACTTCAGGAACGGCTGCATGAGCTGACAGAGCAGACTTTCCAGTTAGCTTAAAGCAGCAAAAACCAGGAATTGAAGTACAGAATCAAAGCAAAACTGGGAAACAGACTAGTCACGTTTCTCTACAGGCAAGCAATTCCACCATCAGTTTTAGGGCAGCCCCATTAGGAGGTGGCTCTGTTGTCTTCTCATCTGCACACTGTTTCTAGGAAAGCCCCCGTGATCACAGGGCATGGGGCAGACAAAGCCCTGATATTTTTCTGTAGAACATGTTCAATGTAAGAAAAATCAAAAGAAACATGGTGCAGCTCTTGCAGCTTTTAAAGGCTGTATGGATTGTTGACATAGCTTTAGCATTTCAGCCACTGTAACATAGTGCTAATGATCCTAAATTTTCCCCGAAGCATACACTATGCCACAGGAGTGCGCATTTGCACAGAGTTTGAAAAGGGTAAGTCTGCTAAATATTTATAGCCATCCTTTCAAGAAACTTCAGTCAGAGATGAAAGACCATGATCTTGAAGAAGTTCCCATATATGAGCTTCAAAAAAAAAAAATCACACGGCAATTTTTTGCATAAAAATCATGTGCAACCACCAGCTGTTCAGAGCTCAGCTCAGTCGCAGGAGCTACTTCCCATTTTCACACAAACCACCACTAAGCACCTCAAATAAGCTGGTTTAAATGTCAAGGTTCATACTTCCCCACTCCCTTCCCCAGCCCCTGACACACACCAGCTCTCCAGGCTGACACCTATGTAAGCCTGCTGGACTTTGAAGGAAGACTCGATTATTTTGGCAAGAGCTCAAATTACTTTGCCAGAAGAGCATTCTTCTCTTTAAACTTGTAAAACATGAAGTTTATTTGAAGGACAAAAAATTAATAATAATAATAAAAAATGTCCCGGACCTAAAGAGCCCAAAAGCCTCAAATATTGCTTTTAAATTATCCAATGTCCCAAGCAAAGTAGCTAAAGAAGGAAGTCCTGCTATCTAGACAACTTAATAATTTCATCTATTTGCAGTCTTAAATCTGCTGCACGTTAAACAAAAAACCTTCTGGGGAAAAAAATATTTAAAGTATTTGAACAGGACAATTACATTTTCACCCAAACATACCATCATGTCATATCAGTCCAGCACCAAACCAATAAAGAACAGCTTTCACAACACTCAGAATTTGCATGCATCTCAGAGAAGAGGATCAGAGACACTACTAGCATAACGTAACTGAAAATAAAGTGCTGTTAATATCATCGTGCTATGCAGCCAACAAGTCTAGTGATAGGATTATTTTGGAAGGTTATTAAAAAGTGTTCAGCAAGCTACCTGGATCAGTGGCAGATATTATCGCTCCAAAGAGGAGGCAGTCTGTATAATAAAATTTACCAGAGAGCTGACCCACCAACTTCATTAGTTTCACAACCCCATACATGAGATTCCTGAAGAGAAAGAGGATAAAACAGTCCAAGTCAAACAAGTTGGTGCATTTCAGGCAAGCAAAAGAAAAGCACAAGCAATAATATTTCAGTCAGGCTTGGTTATGCTACAGCTCAGGGGGACACTGCCTCCCAAAATTAATTTTTCTCTTTTCCCTGTGAACTGGATCAAGTGATATACGACCCAGAATATATCATTTAAAACCAGTAAGCAAAGCATGAAAGCTGTTCGCACAACTGGTACACAGAATCTACAGGTTATTTCCTTTTTTCACCAAAGGGAACATTTTCCTGCTCAAAATTCTCCTCGATATCACTTCTCCCAGCAGAGCACACAAACCAAAAGCTCTGAACTAAGAATAGCCTTCAAAGTGTTTCTCTTCAGTGAAATTCTTTGAGAGACAAACCAAGGACATGCACACATCATATTATATATATATCGATGCACACACATACGCAGAGACAGCAAGAGTGTGCCCATGCATGTGGGCACTGAAAGGGACATCTCAAAATGTTTGATAGTTAAAAATCTATTACAAATAGCATCCATAATTCAAGTTAAAGCCAACTTCAGTAAGAGTCTGACAAGGTTTTGTCTTGGACTGGATCATTACATCAAAAGCTCAACTCCACTCTTTAGTGCTATGGACTTGTCAAGTGATCATTTCATTGACAATATCATTTCAAGGGACAGGATTGTTTAGAATTGGGATAAATCTTGGCAAAAGTTACATTTGTATTTTGTCTGGTGGGTACACAAATAAAATCCTCAAACAAACAAATGACAAAATCGAAGCATTCTGGAAGGCTCGACATACACTTTATCAACTTAAACTTTAGTATAGAAAGGCACAGATATCACAGAGTTCACTTACCCAATAATAAAACAAGAGACTGCTGTTCCTAAAAAGGCATAAGCCAAAATGGACCCCAAATTCCTGAAAAAATGTCTCTGCATAGGAAAAAGAGGTTTATATACTTATTTAAAACAAGTTATATCACCTGTTAAAAAACATACAGCACACTACTACACTTGCATTTATACACAGAAACACCCATTTCAGAGAAACGCTTGAATTATTGTAATGTAAATTCTGTCCTACAAAATCAAATAAACCAAATCTGAACCATGTATTAAATTCTACATGGAGCTTATGGCTAGGAAGCTTTTCACACAGATGTTTTCAGAAGGGATGCAAGAGTTAACCACAAAGCTAAAAACCAGCCAATTTGTGGTATCTTCAAGTGACAGCATAATCTGGGCCATTCAGTGTCTGACACATCCCCACTGGGATTCAGGTTTGGGTCCACTACTCAGCAGAATCTACTGCAGTTTGGATATTTGAGAATGACCAAAACAATTCATAGAAGGACATCTTTTACTTTAATTGATATTGCTGTTAATGTCTCGCAATGTTCAAAGGAAAACAAATCAGCAAGATTAGAGTTTAATGTGTTTGTAGTAAAGAGTATGTGTATTTTCTCTTAAAACAATATGACTTAACCATCTATGGAGGAAATGAGATTTTTCTTACTGCTATAAAAGAAAATATGCTTGAAATGGAGACTGCACTCCTGAACAAGTCAACAGTCTTACATTAAACAAGGGCTATTTTCTGCAGAAAATGATTACACTTACTTTCTTCAGGCTATAACCAGCATGAAAAATAATAGGAGGCAACAGAATGTTGAAAAAAACTTCTGGGTCAAATGTTACCTAAAAAACCAAAACATTAAACCTCAATTAGAAACAGATATACACCAATTGTTAGGTCTTTTTCCTCTTTCATTTTCTAATAACTATTATTTTTGGTTGTTGAAATAGCAAACAACTAGCTATGCTGATCCTCCAAAACACTGGCCAGCTTTATACATATGCAGCACCAAAAAGCAGCAGCTTTTCATGGTAAACAGCATCTAGAAATACAGACATTACTTCCACCACTAATTATTATATTCTTGCAGCACTCCCAGAGTTTCCTTTTCAAATGAAAATATTCTGAAATAGAAATTATGCTGGAGAAGATCTCTCTTATTATGGTAAGTGATATTCATATATTTGCAGATGAGATGCCATTTAAGTTTTTTGTTTGTTTGTGGGGTTTTTTTTAAATCTATAACACACAGGTACATATGAATAGCCACCTAAGTTCTCTTCATAGTTAGCAGAAAGAAGGGGTTTTAGGTTACAAGCCTGAAGTTTCAGTCCTGTACTTCAAAGTTTAGCTTTGACACACATAAAAGGTGGATAAATTCCTGACACTGAATAGAATAATAAGCCAAACAGCAGATTTCAGTAAGGGTTAATAGATTAATTTCACTTCCAATACCAGACTGTCTCATTTGGTGGATTATAGGGACAAAAGCGGAAACTATTTCCTTGCAATAAAGAGATTAAAAAACCCTAGGAAAAAAAGCACTAAGAAACAATCACTTTTCGCTAAGGAAAGATCATTTTCCTTATATTGTACTGTACAAGGCAGCATCAGGCTTTTTTTGTGCAGCTGGTCTTCGTGAATTCTACAGATGTTAGAAACATATGTTAAGTCTTCAAAGAGCAACCAAGGGCCTTGGGAAAAGCACTACATACATGCAACAGAGCATTGTTTCACCAGCAGTGATATAATATGGAAGGTGCTTTTGAATTAAGCATGGAAGTGCTGTTACTATCAGGAATACAGACACCCGATACCACCCAACATTGAAATGGGCCAGTGTGGGGAGGAGGGAGGGAAGCACAGATAAAGGAGAAACTCAGCCAAGCATGAGAAACTGTCTCCCCTCACCTTTCGCAACATGTCATTTTGCTCCACATTGTGGATCTTCCCAGGACTTATCTCCCCCTTGAGCGTATACTCGAAGAACTTCCCGCTGACGTTGACCAGCAGGGTTGTGAACGGCCTGTCCTCCTGTGAGCAGCTGAACGGCTTGTCGTGTCCGCTGGTCGAGGGAGTCCCGTATCTCAAGATCACCCCAACGATGAGTCCTGGAAGAGAGTTAAGAAAAAAAAAAATCCATGAGGCTGATTTGCTTGTCCTGTACTGAACTTTCTAGTTTTGAATAACATCCAAGCTATAATGAATGAGCCTTCTAAACATATGTGCATCATAAACATTTTGCAGTGGATCACTACTATCAGTTTCCTGCAGTGGAAGAGAGGCCCTGAGCACATTAAAACTACTGATGAATTTGTAAAATCTAGTACCTGCCTAAAGTACAAACAAAACACTGCGTTTCATGTCTTGTCTTCTTCATCCTTGCTCACACCTCTAACCTCTAAATGCTGAGTTGTGCTAGAGGCTAAACACTAGGACACAAATACATTTCACCTGCCTAAGGACAGAACAAGTAGATACAGCATTGCCAGCAAATAATGACTGCTGAAAATATGTGGCCGTAACTGAGGCGAAACAGTGATGTTTGCCACAGTATTTTATGGCTGCAGCAAGGATGCAGCTTTTTTTCCCTGGCAATTCTAAGCAAGCAAACAAGGCTTGTTGTACAGTCTTCTGCGTGCTCTGCAAATCTTGCAACTAAAATTCAGATAAGCACAAAGAAGCCAGCTACATGTCTTTTGCAAGCATTTTCCACATTTCACAAAAAAAAATTAAAATAGGTAAAAATAGGCAATCATAAGAGCCCTGAGATTCAGGAATATAAGAAGAATTATAGCCTAGATAAAACCCAACCAGAAAATACAATAAGGGATGCATCAAACACAACAAAAAATAATATGCAACCTAATGCAAGGACCCACTTGCTAAAGGCTCCTCTGCCACCTTAGGATGACCTGCGATTTAATCCTTGTTTGAGACAACTGCAAGATGAAGATGGGTGTTTGATCCTTTCACTGTTGAGTCAGCAGTCAATGCTGGTTTTGCTCCCTGTGACCCTCACTCTGCATCCATAGATCTGTTTCCCCAGATGGTAAATGAAGTTGACAGGTAATAACCAGAAAATAAATGAAGTATAACAAAGAAAAAAAAATTCCTACCATACACCACAAAAATAAAAACCCAAAACAGACTTATCTTTACAGCATAAAGAATAACCAAGCTGTACTCCATAAAAGTCAACCAAGAGAATATGTCTCATTCTTTTCAAGTTCAGAGTGCAAGAAGTTTTAACGCAAGAGAAGGCACAGCAGGTAATAGCTGCAACATGAGTGGGTGGCTCCCCTCCAGCCCTCTTTCTCTACAATCAAGAGAACATAGCAGCAGATCTCTAAGATCATTAAATAGTAACTGGAAGATTAAGCTATATTTATTTAGAAAAGAAAAGTACATACTGAAAGAGAACACAGGGGAAGAAACCCCCTCAGCAAGATAAATCTACTTGCTGACAATTTAAATATGGAGGTTTATACAAGCCTGCTCCTAACAACCACGGAGCATTTCACAGTTCGGCATGATGGATGCAGCAGAGACGCAGCTCTGCAGGGGGGCAGCCACCTCCAAGACACTTGCAGCACCAGAGACATCTTCACGAACTCAGCCAGGCAAGTGAAGCTTGCTGCTGCTCTCAACCCCCCTCACGCCGAGGAAGGCTCACACTGTCTGTGGTAAAACTGATCTAACCAGCGTCAGCCAGAAATCCTGTAGTAAATCAGAAGCCAGAATGAAAACTGTACAGATGAGCTTATGCATAGCAGCGGCACAGAGCCAAATCTATCCTGCTACTAAGCTGAGAACAGAAAGGGGGACACCAATAGATGTAATAGCTTCTTAGGCTCAGAAACCGTCCTTCAGCGAATTCATTGCAAAAGCAGATGGGAAACCCCCATTGCTATGGCATTAGCAGGATGCACCGGAGAGCAGGATGTGATCACATTATACAACTGGATATAATCCACTCATTACGTTTTTGCCTCATAATAAAATATACCAGATATTTTAAAGCACGTTTTGAAGATATGCCAATTATATCCATAATTGATACCCAGTGTTTGAAGTGAAACATCCTTTAACCCTCAGTGTCCACAGCCCAGCTAACATAGCTGCAGGGAAGCATCCCGTTTTTATACACCTGCTACCGATAAAATACCAAACTGGATGACTTTGTACTGAGCACCACACCATGTAGGAACACCTGATCCCTGCTGCCAGGCTGCTGTCGCACAGCAGGATGCAGCTGGGACCAGGGTCACCCGTGTGGAGGCAGGAGGCCAGCAGAAGCAGTGGCAGCTGGTCAAGGCATGGTGCAGTGGTCTGACTAAAGCCACATGGGGCTCAGTTGTGAAAGGAAATAGGTGTGAAAATAGAAGGAGCCAAGGAAGCCACACAAATACCACAGACAGATTCATCTACAAAAAAAAATTAATCACTTCATAGTTCAAAAGGTGAGTTAGGAGAGGGGAAAGCTCCCCCATCTTACAAAGGTACAGGCATACTGCTGTATTTATCATGTAGTCCCAAAATAACAGGTTTTGAACATTACAGTGGAATGTATCAGCTGGATACGTTTGACAGAGATGCAAGCTGCAGAAATCCTGAAGCTATTAAAGCTTAAAAAAGAAAAAGCCTATGGAAAACTGTATGGAAGTATTTTCAGTTTAACAACAAACATCAAGTCTTTCACATGCTAAAAATTTACTGGACTTGTTAGACAATTTCTACGTCCTATATAACTTCATAAAGCAACATTAACAAAGCTTACAAATTTAGCCAACCCCTAAGGTCCCAAAAAACTAAAAGTCTAAGCATTTTTCAAGGCAGACTGAGCAGCCTGATTTACAGCTTCAGAAAGGATGCCCTTCTAAGCTCCCTGCCATGAGGTGTTATACAGAAGGCCAGGGCATCTGCTGCAAATTCTCACTGCATACTTGATTTCAACCATGTCCAGAACATCAGAGTTGCAGCTGCAGAACAAAAACAGAAAAGAGAAAGAGACCTGGAATTGCTCAATGGACAAACCTGGTGGGATACTCCTGACTTACTTCTGAGCTGTTAACACAGGCACAAAACCAGTACAGCTCTGTCACTCAGCTGGAAGCAAGGGGAGGGATGGATGCTAGAGGCTGGGAACAGATACAAAGGAATCAGTACACAAAGTCCATGTTACTTTTGCACCAGCATCTCCCTGGTGAAGAGTTTATGGAGAACCTCAATCAACAGAGTAAATATTTGTCTGACTGCTTAAGAATATTTTAGCTCTTCAAAAAAGAAACCTCTAGGACCACTAATCCAGCTCTATCTTTTACTGCAAGATTATCACAAGAGAAAAAAGCAAGAAATGGGCTACAAATACTGCAAAATTCGAGAAGAGCCTTACTTTCAAAGCTTGGGTTTGTAGTAACTGTTGCATGGGCAAGTTTACATCACTGCTCAAAGACTCTTAGGAAGGATAATCTCAAAAAATATTACTCAATGCCCTGTATGCATGACTTGCATTCTCACTTGTAACAGAGAAAGCACTTATGGTAGTATCTCATGTGTACAATTCCTATCATGCAGCTGGTACACAAAGAACATTATACTGGAAATAAAGCATTAAAAAGCTGGGAATATTTTTTGTCTTTTAAAACAAACCACTACTGATTATAAACAAACAAACAAACAAAAAAATAGACTTTGTCCATACCAATCTACACATACCAGTCAACACCACTCTACACAATACACCACTTAAAATGGCATGTTTACTTTTGGTTTTGTTTGTGCACAGAAGTCACTGAAGTAAGAATATGAATTCAGATAGGCACGTGTAACATGAGCACCTGTACCCGGTCAGAGCCGAGCTCCGTGTGGTTTCTAGCCCAGTTCTCTGCTGAAGAGCCAGTCCTGAAGTCTTGGGGATCTCCAGCAGGCAGCAGACTGCAGGAACTGAGGGTATTCACACTCCATGACACTGAGTTCAATCAGTGAATTCAAACCATGGATCAGTGGACTGGATCAATCGGTGAACTCAAACCTGTTTAGATGCCATTTCTGTCATATGTTCCTGGTAAAGAGCCAAGCACCTTCCCTGTGCAGTGTAATTCATATAAACCACATTTCAGTCTGAAGGACACTCAGCAGAAATCTTATAGCCATTTGCAGCTATCTACTGGGAAGACAGAGAAGCAAGGGTCAGACTCTGGTGAAAAGTGCACAGCAACTAAGACTAAAGACAACAGACTTGCTGCAATGCAGGGGAAAAAATAGGAAAGGCTTGGTTTTGTTTTTAAAACAATAAAGTGGCCAAGCACCAGAATAGGCTGTCCAGAAAGGTTGTATCATCTCTGTCCTTGCATAAAGCCAAAACTCACATGAGTATGGCCCCAAGCTGTGGGGGACTGCTGTGAGCAGAGGGCTGGACCACACCACCTCCAGAGGTCCTTTTCAGCACAGGTTACTCTGCATTTCATGCTTTCCCACAAACATGTGGACTCCTCAGACAAGTACTTCATGCTGCAAAGGTTTCTTTAGAAGCAACTTTGTTGCTACCTGGGACAGTATTGGGGATTTCTGTTGCTTTGGAGGCTTTTTTTTGTTGTTATTTTGGGGTTTTTTGTTTGTTTGCTTGGAGTTTTTGCTGACTTTAAAACTGAGTCAGAGAAGAAGAAATGGCAATACAAGAGTCTGACCATAAAAGCCAGAATGATCCAGCAGGCCAGGAAGGGGATGCTTTGACTTCCTCAATCTGCTCTGACTTGCCCCCTTGCCCTGGGCCACAACTCACCCTTTGGAAAGAGGGCAGAAAGGGTGACCAGGAGATGTTCAACTACTCTTAATGCCACACAGCTACAGAAAAGCAGATACTGTGATACAGCAGAGAAAATACTTGTTAGCAACTTCTCTCTCTCTCTCTTTTTTTTTTTTTTAAATTAAAAGTAATAAATTCAAAAGCAACACTACAGCAAACTATTGCCTGGTTTGTCCAGCAGTGAGCCCCAGTCTCAGCTTGGCACATAGCCTGTCTCTCCTTAGAGCAGCCCATGCAGAGGCAGAATAGAGTACTTTGGGTACTTGGACACCAGCTTCCTTGTGGTGCAAGGTAATGGTGAAT